TCTAACACATCAAGCTAATCATAAAGCTATGAATTCAAAAACACTCATGAAAAATTTCAAATGAAATAACATACGAAAATCTTGCAACAATTGACTACAAAAACTCCTCCCGACACAAAACAATCAAGTGCCTTCTCTTTTATTTGGAGTGGGGTATATTTATTAAAACTTTCTAATGAGAAAAATTTTATAAAACTCTTCGTTACCAAATATTCGCAAAATTTATCGCAAAACTTTCGTAACACACAAAAAAGTTCGCAAAACTTTCCGTAGAGCTTTCAACTAAAGAACAATTTGGGAAGCTTTCCTACATGTAATTTGCAGCTCTCTACAAGAAAATTTCAACACAATGCAATTCATCACAAGAATATCTTAAAACTTGGTAATTTACTATTTGCAAAAGTTCAATATGAAGAATGGAAAGGAGGAGACGCATGGCAAAACTGATTTCCATAAACTAGCCTCAATTCCTTGTCATTTCATTAATGTGTAAAGGTAAAGGAGATAACCCATTAGAAAATCTGCCGCAAAGAAAAACAATCTTACAATGCACTTTGACACCACATGGTTTATCACAAGAAGTTATCAACCCTTGCAAATCATTATAACATGTTAGCTTTGCCAAAATCTTTCCAGGAATACATATATGCACTAAAAATTTCATATATATATATATATATATAATATATATATATATAATAATATATATATATTACACGAACACTTCCCGACTTTCATCTCCAAAGATAATTTAGAGCATATGATGAACAAAAATCTGCATATATCTTATTTTTAAAACAGTTCGGAGCTTAAAACACATAAAAACTGCACTTTATCCATACCCAAAGCAGTTTGGAATTTCAAATAAGTAAAAATCTGCATATAGATTATTTCTAAAACATTTTAGAACACAAAAACAACAAAAATCTGCTCATAAATCATCTCCGAAATAGTTTGGGGTATTAAAACAGTAAAATTCTGCATGTAGCATGTTCTCAAAATAGCATGGAACATAGAAACAATGCAAAATCTGCATGTACCTTATTCCCAAAAATAGTTTGGGACCTCAACTATGAAAAATCTGCACATGCTTAGCTTCCCAAAAACCAAGTAGCAAACAAATAAATCATTTAATGTAGAATCCACAACTAAGTTGTAATCATATGAAAGAAAACTTGCTGCAAATGACCTCAGATTTTTCTCCAAGAAACTTCTCAAAATCATAGATGTTTGTCAATAAAAGAGAGGATAACACGCGTGTTTTCTAACACTACTTTAACATATTTTATAAAAGTATCCCGAATGCCCACTATCGAGACAGAAAACATACATATCTTTTCAAATGAAACCATGAGAATAAAATTCAACATAACTTACACAACCTTGCATTCAAGCCAAACAATTTCTCAAGAATTACACTATGCAGCATATGCGATCTTTCAACCAAACCTTTATATTTCACCTAATGTCAAATATGGATAATCATTGTTTGCCAAAACAGAATATATATATAAAATCTGCATGGCTTCGTTGGAAAGAAGAGAAATCAGCCGAATTTCCCTATCATTATATATATAAAAAAAAAATGCAAAACAAGACATAGATTTCACAAGATCCGTTCATGTTGATCGAAATGAAGTCTCCAACAAGTTCATGAGTTTTAATTGAGAGATGACATCGGAACGCAATTTTGGATACGAACCATCCTCAAATATTTCCAAATAAGTTTAATGAAAACTCATGTATTCACAAAAGGCCTTAACACAAAGAAATGCTACAGTACTCAATAAATCCTTTTCCTAAGAGAGACAACACATTTCTCTTTTGCCCATTACAATCGATAATGAGCGAAATTAAGATAAGCATCTTAATTAAATTTGTTTGGTGTTCTCATTAACAGTTATTCAAACTTTACTAAAAGAAGAGCCAATGTAAAGTGTTGTACTTAATATTCCTTGCAGAGATAAACCAAGCAAAATCCCTCTATTCTTTATTTCTCAAGAAAATTACGTAATCCTCCTTCCAGCCTTAAGAAAAGCTCAACGAAGAAGAGAAAAACATGTGTCGGCGCATCCAAATAGAGTAAAATAGGTGCAGTCATTGATTTAACAAAATAAATCATGTGTGTTTACATGTATTTCAACAAACTTTCACCACTCCTTTTTACTACTCATCTTATCAAAAGAGAGGAGAAAAATAAATTTCGCCTCAGATTTAATCGAGAAGATCAAGATCTAAAACCCTCCATGCATGAAACCAATGCAATAAATTCCAAATTTTGAGAGATCGAGCCTAACAAAAATTCTAATATCGTCATCGCAACTTAGAACATCTAATAAGAATAGCCTTAGCATTTTATCTCAATTCCATAAAGCTAGGTGCTCACTACCATCTTATAGAATTTTCCTTCCAAGTAGATAGAGTCATAGAACCATAGATGTAACTAAAACATCACCAAAAAAAAAAAAAAAGTAGAGAACAAGCTTCCACCGTAATATATTTTTTTTATTATAAGCCTAAATAGGTAAAATGATTCATGGCTGTACCGATTGCCTTTGATGGCCATCCTTGATGTATGGCCATTACAGCGGAAGCTGGAGCAAAACAATGCTTTCAAAGGAATATAGATTCAATCAGATTTCATGATACCGCACCAAAATTCTCGCTAATCGTCACAAAACCGACAACAGGCTAAGGAAAAGGAGGATTTACACACCTTGCTAAGAGGAATTTGTTCGGCCAGAACAGGGGAGACCTCCGACTGGAGCTTGCAAGCGGAGCGAATGTCGATGTCGGACTCGGCTAGGGCAAGGTTCGTCAGGGATGGATCGGCCGAAGGAGGAGCAGGTGATGGGTTTGGGTCAATCGTCCGGCTCGGCGTCGGCCAAGGTGACGGGCTCGGTCCTGGAGGTCGGACGGGAGCAGGGAGGTGCGGCCTCCTGGTTTGATCCGAGCAGGAGAGAGAGGGAGACGGGAGAGCCGAGCGTGAGAGGGAGCGGGATCGAGAGCTGGAGCCGGAGTTGGAGTCGGACTAGCTGAGCGAAACTCAGGAGAGAGAGGGAGAGGGCTGCGTGAGAGCTAGGGATCCAATCGGGGAGATTGAGAGTTAATCCTCAAGCTGAGGCTCTCGCTCTGGGCAAATCAAACCTGTTGTCGAAAGAGGAAGCCCGCGCTTGGCCGTCATCGTGCTCCAGCCTTCGACACTCCTTCAAGCAGCTCTATTCTCTGCCCGATGTCTGCCCGAGATGCAGAGAATCGTCTGAGAAGCGGGATATGGGCTGAAATGATGATCTCGTTTGATCGCAGCCGCCGAAGCCACTACCGGATTTAGAAAATAAATTCAAATCATTTAGAAAGTCGAGTGGATCTTAATGGGATTAAACCGAGCTGGATCAGATCAAATTGGCTAAGATTAGGTTAGACTCGAGTCCAAATTTTGACTCGATTCAAGTCGATTTTGGCTCGAGCCGGCTCGGAAGAACTAATCGTATGAAATTAAGCTCAAAATCGACATTAATTTTTATCAATTTAAGCTCGACGCGGTCGAAACAAATCAATCAAAACTGACCGAGTATAGTCGGGTCTAATCCGTCTCAAGTTGAGCCGATTCGAACTCGAGTTGGGCTCGACGGGGTTCGATTAAATCGATCGCAGCTCCTCGAGACTATTCGAACGAAAAACGAGGTCAACAGTTGCTTTACAAAGTAATAAAAAAAACTGTATCAAACGAAGCCTTAATCTATTAGAGCCATGTGTATCATAAGTTCTATGAATGAGAGTGATGCTGGGGCAACTATTGAGAAGTTTATTGATATTTTGATATATATTTAAAAATGAGAAAATGATTAAAATGATCCTTTGATTCTTTATGAAATATTAACATAATCCCTAATCCCTAATTAAAATTAAAGAATTATTTTGGCCTCTCAATTTCTTGAATTGTTGAAGAGAATCCAAGATAGAAATATGATGGAAGTGGCACAATAGGAGGGTACCATGTAGATGGTCCATCAAATAATAGTGGTGGTGGTGGTGGTGGATGAAAATGAAATGGAGTGATATGATGGCCTGATGCTGGGGAACTAAAAATGGTGGAAAATAGGCTGATCTGATGGTGAAAGTTGGGCCATGTTTGGGGAGGTGGAGGCTAGATTGGTGATAGAGGTAGTTTGAAAGTTATTACGAAAAGCAGCTTCTTAGCATAGAAATTTCGTGAAAGAAGCAAAAAATTAAGAGCCACAGAAACTGTGATTTTGATTTGAAAGTAATAAGAAAGTTGTCTCAAATGAAGCCTGAATCACTCCTAATTAGTCAGAAAAGGTGTTTTTCAAACCTAATAAATGTTTATCATTTTTTTGCGGAAGACATCTGCATTTATAAGTTAGTCTAGAAAATCATTATAATCATGAATAAATTGAAGCTTGATCTTTATCAAAATATTTAAATAATTAAAAACATAAAAAAATCCCGCACACCATGCAATGTTATCATCGTCAAATTGATTTCCACCATCATCCGAGTCATTTTCTATTACCTTCACAAATCCCACACCACAAAGTTGTTTTGCATTTTAGACAACAACCACAATTTTATTTGATTACTACATGCATTCTTATGTGGTGAAAAGTTGTTTTCTGCAACCATAATAGTTAAGTTGTTTTCCCCACAACAACTGCACCATCAACTTTATAAAACATTTTAGTCATCCCAAACGGATCCTTAATACATCGTAACATTTCTTTAAATGATAAATAGATATAATAAGTGATTCTATGTTGGAAAAAGCTTCAAAACTCTTATATTTATGTTGCAATTAATATTGCATATAATATGTAAGAGCTACACTATTCTCAGTACAAATGCAAGAATTTAAAACTTCATTCTAACATAAAATACATACAGTATGCTCTATATAAATTATACACAATATACTTTCCTTAATTTAGAGAGAGAAATTAATTTCTCAAACCCCTTTACAAAAAAAATAAAAAATCCTTTAATCTAAATGCAAGATGGAGGGATCATAAGGCCAAATGAGCGGCCCTTCACATTAACACAAGAAGCAACAGCAAAATCTCCAGCAACACTGTACTTCAAATCTATGTTGCTCAGCTCTATATCTTCACATGGCAATCTATCGCTGCAAACCAGATTTATAGCATTCTTTGTTCTTGTTTCTCCTGTTATGTTTCTGAACTTCACATTACTGATCTTAACCAGAGATGGAGCCTGCAACAAATTCAAACTTTTACATTACTTGCCAAAGTTATCTTCACCACATCTAAGGCTGTTTTTGACGTCAAAATATGGTGAAATTTTTAAACCACTATGTGGGGTTGGTTAAATGAATTCTTTTTCTCCTTTGTGTACTGTTATGAGTCAAATCCTCATGTAAATCTAATAAAGAAATGTCATTTCTAATATTTTAATTCTAACCAACACTATAGGAAATTCATCAAATATTGGTGGTATTTCTGACGGTCAAAGGACCCCCAGAATTTCTAGTGGATTAGCGAACCAGCCATCGCTCCGATTGCTGGCGAAATCACAACTTAAAACCTCCGGATAATCTTACCACAAGTTTCAGTTTCATATGTAGCTAATACCGACGGAAAAAAAACTGCAAGAATAATGAATTTCCGCCTAAAAATCACATATTTCTGCCGGGAAAAATCATCAGTAATAAATGATTTTCCTGTACTGTAAGTCTTTTTAGGTCTACATCTACCATTCTTAACATTACCTAAACATAATACTTCTACTTTTTTAATAGAGTCATCATAAGACTGTCATTTTATATGCAAACCATCTAAGATGGCTCTCCCTAATCTTATCTTCCACAAAATTCTATCAAGAATCCTTGAAAGTTTTCCCCACAAAATTCTAGCAAGAAATATATTGTCATCATAATTTTTTCAATGGGGTTGACATTGATTTGTGTTACACCAATCTCAATAAAGAAACAACGGCTATGATTTAACCTTCACATATATATTTTTTCTGTTTATCACTATCATGCACTTATCATATGATGCAAGAAATAAACATGTAAGGATCATGAATAAATTTCTATTAAAATGGGCTTAAGAGCTCTGGATTTGCAATGAGATATATGATGTTATAAACTATACTAATCTAAGTGCAAATTCAATGGCTCTTAAGCCTTTTCGGTTGTAATGATATATTTTTTCGATCTATATTAAATTTTGTATTAAAAAACTACTTTAAAAAACAGCTAAAGAATTATCATAAATTCTATATCTATGGATCAAAGAACTAATTACCTTACTACCGCAGAGATTATGCGGGCAATATTTCTGATCAATAACAATTGGATTATCCACATTGTTCATCACCAATTCCTCAAACACAAGATCATATGCTGAAGAGAAAGTAGGAGACTCCTGCCAAGTCTTAATTCTAACACCATTCTCTGTATCACTAAAAGTGCAATTTCTAACGCTAATTCCAACAACATCACCTTCATCTTTGCCTCCTCCAAGGCTTCCAATGCTTATGCCATGGCCGGGCCCACACCGCACCCCTGATATCGATAGGTTCGCCGTCCCCGGCCCGATCGATATGCAGTCGTCGCCAGTGCTGATGATGGATTGGCTTATACTAATGTTTTTCGATTCTCCCACATGAATTCCGTCGGTGTTGGGGCTATTTTCAGGAGCCATGAGCTTAATAGAATGGAGATTGATGTTGTTGGATGCAAATATTTGAATGTGAACGTTTTTGCTGTTGATAGAAGTAATGCCTCTGATTGTTGCGTTGCTTACAAAGCTGAAGTTTAAGGACTGCATGAAAGTTTGGTTATGGTAAATTGTTAGATATTCTATGGATTATATTTCTAACATAATGAAATATCATCAAGGAAACTGTCATTGAATGAAATATCATTAAGGAAACTGCATTATATTTCCGGTTTAGCAGGAAAGTTTGATATCAAACGGTTTTTTAGCCGTCTGTTCTTGTGTTTAACAGCTAGTAATTACCGACGATCTGGCTGTCAAAAAAGTAGCGGTTTGACCGCCGGTAATCGCCAACGATTTTCCTGTGGTCCTTCTTCCGGTAGTTTCGGCGGTTCCTTGCGGTCTTTCTCGTCGGGATTTTACGGCGGTTATAGCCGTTAGAAAACCGATGGAAAATATAACCGCCAGTATTAGTTTCCTACACAATTGTTCCGGAGGCATTTTAACAGCCAGAAAATTGCCAAAAATTTTAGAAACCGTCGGAATTGGACATATTTTTCGGAAATTTCTATCGATAATGAATGATTTTCCTGAGTATTCAAACATTTATATAAGTCTAACCGATTTTTAATTGTTATTTACTCACCCATGGAAGAGGCTTGCATCTCCTTCTATGAAGGCAGTTATTCAGAGGCCATGCATGGGCGCCTTGGCCATCAAATAGGCCTTTTCCAGTAACCAGAAGGCCATTAATGTACCGGAAGGAGATCCAATCGTGTGTCTTATAAGCATTAAGATCTGCCTGCGAGAGCACGTATCCTTTGACCTGTACCACCATTTCTCTACCTTTGCATGGGCCTTTGAAAACCAGAGGACCAACTAGAAACTTTCCTTTGGGAATCAGAACCTTCGGCCTTAATCCATCCCATGCACAGGCATCTTCCCATGCATTCTGGAAAGCCTGCAAGCATTGTCTTCAATGTAAAATATTGAATAATAAGATAGTAAAATTTAAAACTTTTCGTTTGGGGAAAAATTATTATGCGCAGACACCGAACGACATTCAGAGACCAATAAAAATGCATCACTTCACATTTTTACTGTACTGCGGCTCAGTACTCGATTCCGATGCTCCGTACCGTGACATTTGGATGTAGAGTTGCCACTACAGAAAAATCGTCAATTACCGGGGCACTTTCTGATGGTTTATATGACTTTTCCGGTGGTTTTAAAAATTACGAGTTGCGTAGGAAACGAATTGCAGCGGCCATTTTTCGGTGGCTGATTTTTCTGACGGGCGCAACAGCCGGTAAATTCCGGCAGTCAAAACGCCGACGACCGTCGGGTAATTACTGGCGGCGTACCAGCCGTATAAAACGCGGGAATAGCCAGCAACCCAGCCGCCGGTTGATCACCGTTTTATTATTAAAAACTACCGGTCACACGGCCTGTTTAACCGCCGTTAATTCCGGTGGTTCTTTGACTGCCGGTAATACCGTCGGTAATTGACGATTTTTCTGTAGTGTGCGTCCGGCATCCGCACAGAATAATTTCTCTTATTTGGGACAATCTTCTTATTGCTTCTTACAAGAAGAGAAAGCCTTCCCAAACAAAGCCTAAGTTGGAATATTCACCTTTGCATTGTCAGTTCTGCCATCAGAAACTGCGCCATAGTCATTAACATTGAAGATTTTGGAGATGCTGAGCCTGTATGGTGCTGCTGAGCCTGAAATTACAACAAGAGAGAAGAAGAAAGAAAAATAAAGAAGATTCATGACTTTGTTTGAGAAGATCTGATCTTTTTTCCTCTTTTTTTAGTCTGGAGATGAATTTATAAATAATGAATAATTATGATGACAGGTTGGGAGTAATTTCTGTTAAATTTGTCTGTTTAGGAATGATTTTTGTTGGAGTGGAGGATTGGAAATCATTTAGTTTATCTATTTTTAGTTCTATCTGTATTTCTGCTAATAAGAGATTGCCCTTTCGGTATTCTTTTGTGGAGCTAATTTGGAGGGTTTGTTGAATATTAGGGACCTGAAGATGTTAATTATGAAATTTTTTATTTAATTACTTTTTTTAGATTATTGGTGTTTGTTATAATAAATAGGAAATTGATGAGACGTAGCGGTGTAAATGAGTCAAGTCAAACTCGAGACATCCCTAGCTTGAGCCTAATTACTTAATCGAATTCGAGTTTAGGGTCGAATCGGCTCATTTATTATAAACGAGAAGATTATTATGATTCAGGCAATCAATATAATTAAATGTTAAAAGGAATGTGAAATTAGAAGCAAATATTTTTAATAGATTTATGCTCAATTGCCTAATTCTGACATATTTTAAGTAAATTTAATATTATTATTTTTTAAATGAGTCGGCCCGTGAGTCAATCAATCGAGCCAAGGTTAGTTCAAATTTGGCTTGTTAGCTCAACGAGCTCAGCTCAAGATGTATTTTTATTGAGTCGGCTATAAGCCGAATAAACTCACTTACACGTCTAATTAGATGTTTGGGTGTTCTTCCTTGTTTTAAGAAGGTTTTTTATTTTTATTTTTATTTTTATAATATTAGTGTTGTCAAACTTCATAAATTCTTATATTAGGCTTCGTTTGGGACGGCTTTATTACTGCTTCTTAAAGTAGTTTTCTAGTAAGAAAATTTAATTTTTATGTGAGAAAATTATTTTACGAAGCAATAAAAAAGTTGTCTCAAACAAATACATAATTTAACTCATATAAAATAGATACAATGAAACACTTTTTCAAAACAAATCCAATAATTATAGAAATTGCATAAAATTTCCTAATTCTATGAACAGAAACGCTAAGTAGAGTTGTAAGGGCTGCAGAAGCCTTGCGCTAAAATGAAAAACTCATTGTTCATGTTTGACCGTTTTATAATTATCTTAAATTATTTACTTTTTTTATAAATTTATATATTTGAAGAGCCTAATTTTACCAAAAAGTATATTGATTATATATATTGGCAATATATAAATTTTAAACAAACCTAAATCTCCTATTTCAATCTTGGATTCATCAGTCAATGGTCTCGAGCAGTACAGGTTTGGCTATATCTAGGGTTATCAAAATCGGATCACTAGTCGGATTTGCGTCGAACTAGAAACTGACCCAACACTATTTGACCAAACCTGAACCGGACCTATTTTTGAAAATGGGCCAGGTATTTCAACCTAGACCTAACAAGTGCGGGATACTGGGTTGACCCGACATGACCAACATACACATTTTGATTAAAAAACAGAACATCTGGCCGCAGGAGACCGCCTAGGCGGGATGAGGCATCAGTTGCTCGGCGAATCAGCGATGATGGCTAGTCGGAAAGTCGGCATCGGCAGCGACACGACATGGCATGGCACGGTTCCGGGCGTTGGAACCAAATGGCAAGCTCAGACGCTAAGTTATCGTGACATCCGACAAGAATGGCGACGGCGAGTCGGCAAGCTCGGCACCGACATCAGCTCATCCATGCATCGATATACGCTTTTGGAGACGAGACTGGACTATACGAGACGGGACGGGATGTGACTCATGCATGTTTTTCCAAACATGTTAACACGGGTTGAGCTCGGGATTCCGAGTGATCAACCCGAACCTGACCCATTTGTGAAATAGGTTGAGCATAAGCCGAAATTTTTGGGTTGGGTTCAAGTCGTATTTTTGGGTCGTGTCATATATTGACACCCCTAGCTATATCTATACTATTATTATAAAAGCCGTTTAAGTTTCTTTCCAAATAAAATCTTAGTCTTTCATTTTAATTATTCAAATAGAATCATGACCATTAATTTTATTATCTGATTATTATGATTAATTTATAATTTTAAAAATAATTAATATATAATTACTTTTCATTTAAGCAAATAAATGAAGAAATCTTTTGAATTTCCTAATATTATACCTCTTCATATTCCCTCCTTCGTCCCCTTATGCTTTTTATTCCATTTTTTTTATAGTCTTAATTCATGTTTATTAAATATCTTTTCATATTTTTCTCTTTATATTTCCTACTATACCCTTTTGTATTCTACTCATTATAAAAAATTCAGCATCGGGTAGAAGTCCGACGAAAGTTTAGCGATGGGGAGAAGTCTATCGACGAGAAGAAGTCTGATGACGAGCAGAAGTCTAACGTCAGCTATAAATCCATTGATTGACAGAAGTTTGGCATCGGGTAGAAGTACAACGAAATTCTGGTGATGGACAGTAGTCTGGTGACGGTAGAAGTCTAGTTTCGGGTAGAATTCTGACGACAAGCACAAGTTCAGCGACGGGCGGAAGTTCGACATCGGGCAGAAATCCGGCGACAGGCGGAAGTCCGGCATCGGTCGGCTATCGAGCAGAATTCCGACGTCAGATGGTGGCCGAGCTAAACACCAGAGTCAATTGGCGTTCAGGTAGAACTGCGACGTCGGTAGGTTGCCGGGTGGAAGTCCGACGTGGTCGAGGAAGAGTCTGGTGGTAAGAGAGCTATCTTCCTTCTCTTCTTTCTTGGGCCTCCTTCTCCTCCCCCGGGGTCCCTCTATGAGAAATGAGAAGCTTATTTATAATTTTCTAAGAATGGAATGACCAGTAAATAGGAGGAAGATCAGGGGTAAATTGAAAGTGGTTTGAATGGATAACCGATATTGATTCCCTTGATCATAAATCATTTACTAGACATTTGAATGTCTTAATGATATCAGAATTCAGAGATCTTGGGCTCGTTGGATTCATCTCATCGAGCTGCTCGATTCGATTATAAGCATGTCACATTTGGAGACCGTTTGGTATCCAAATTATGGTTTGAACCTTCCAAATGTGCTTCGGGTCTTTGATTTGGACTAATTTGGGTTTGGATTGAGTCGAAATTGGTGTCGTTGGGTTTGTATTTTTGAGACGTTCTTTTCGACTATAAGTTGGAGTTCAGATGATTCCAGATTTAATTTGAAATTTCCAACTTAATTTGTCTCGAGATTCGTGCACGATCAAGATAATTTTTTGATGCTATATCAAGTTTTATATTTATTGTTTCGATTTTATTTTTATTGTTTAAAAAAATTAAGTAATATTTCTATATATTATAATAATTCTGATTGATCTCAGGAATGAAGGATAATATATAGATTTTTAATCTATTTTGAATATACTTTGCAATAATATTGATCTAAATTTTACAGTATACTTTGCAGAAATAACTCAATATCATATTTTGATATACATATATGAATCATTCCGAAGTAAGTTCAATCAAATTTATTTGTATTTTATTTCTACAATAAATTAGAATACTTCAATGCCATTTTTCTTTATTTTATAGTAATACAAATAGTAGATAATCAATTTTTAAGAAATAAAATATAATTTATACAAATTGAATTTATATGTTTTTTTTTTCATATTATTATAATTTTCACATAAATTTAATTATATAATATATCATATATAATATATATATATATATATATATATATATATTATTAATTAATATATATATATAATATATATATATATATATATATATATATATATTTATATATATATATATATATATATATATATATTAATATATATATTGTGATTACCATAAAAATCTTTTAGTAAAAGTACTTTTACTGATATTTGTGGTATTTATATGATTATTTTTAAAAATATTTATTCTAAATACTGTTATTTAAAATGTCAAACTTAACAATTTATTTTGATAAATTCTAAAAATAATAAAGTAGTATGTAATTTTATCTATAATCATAGATGTGCACAAAAATATCAATATATGCTCTTGATCATTGTACTAATAATTTGTTTATTAACTATATTGCATTCGCAAATGGCCTATTTGGGGCCACTTTTTCTTTTGAAAAAAATAATGCTTATTTTTTTTAAACTATTTTAATTATTTTTATTTATTTTAAAATAAATAAATTATTTTAAAAATTCTAAATTAATATTGAGATGTTTTGGTGATTTTAAAAATTAATATAATAATTGAAAGCCATTGCACCCTTGCCATAACCATCATCAATACTATTGCTTTATTATCTTGCAAATATCCACCGCTTTAGCTTACAAATTAATTATCATTGAATAAAATTATAGATATTATGTAAATATAACATCTTATACTTAGATGAATAAGATTTTGATTTTGTCTATTTTTGCTTCATTCATATATTGCATTTAAAAAAAAAAAAGCTCTTAAAATTATTTAAAATTTTGGTATATTTTATTGAATAATAAATTTAATTTTTAATATTATTTATTTTATTATCCAAATTAAATATTTTTAAGTATAAAATTAGTATTTAATATTAATATTCATTTAAGTTCAGTATTTTTATTAAATGTTTTACTCAAACTCAAAGAAGATTATGCCTTTAGCAAATTAAAATCATTCTCTTATGCAACATCTATCATAAAAACAAGATAAATATTCAATTTCTCTCTTCCAATATTATTTATTACAAATTTAAATTCAGCTTAAATCTAAATTTTGATTATATAATTATTTAAAGTAATACAATGCAATATCTAACATCATAAAAAAAAAATACATGTTCTAAATTGAGGATATAATTATCATTACAATTATTATTACAATTAGTTGTAGTGATAAATTTATTTATTTGATATCTTTATAACAAATTATGAATTAATTAAATAATATTTAAATTTAAAATTTTATTAACCTTCATTTAATGCATGTATAATTATACTAATCTATCAAAACAAATATAAGTTACACTACTACAACAACAACTTCAAATTTTTATCCCACTAAGTGAGATCAGCTAAATGAATCCTTTTGCTCAATTGCGTGACCAGATTATCTAAGATGACTCTAATCTTATATGCCACTGAATGACTCCAATCTTTTCATGTATATGCTCATTTCACAACTCTATCCCTAAGTGTAAAGCCACTCATCCAACTAAACATCCTTATCTCTTCCATTTAGCTTGATTTTATGCATCTCTTTTAATGACATGTGGAGTCCAGACATAGAGAACCATTCTGCTTTACAACTGTGAACTGCAAAAACATAGTTACTATTCACCATCGCGCTTTTACTGTTCACTGCTACGCTTTTACTTCACTTTTCTTGTTCACGGTAAAAAACCGAACGGTTTCTGGGTCCGGACTCCGCACATAATCATCTCTCCTCCTAACGGAGTAAGTCGCAGTTGGAAAAATGGAGATCCCATGCAACAAAGCAAATAACCAATTAAAGAGCATAAATGTTTAATTGAAAAAATATCAGGAATCTTTTCCTTAAACCCACAAGAAGCTTCTATATACAGAAACCATTCTTCTTCCAGTTCAAACAACTTTGGGTACAATAAGAAGAAAGAACTGAAGTGGCCCTATTTTCTCCATCTCTGATGACATTCCTGGTGAATAGCATATAAGTTCGCATTTGCAGCTTCTAAAAGTAGCAAGCTAGAAGCTGCAACTTAGAAGCTTTCCATTAGCACAACGAAGTGGGCTGGATTTCTTAAGCTTTTATGGAAGTGGTTCTTGTGAATCCCCAAGGCGAGACAAATGGAGGTAAGCATCAGTTCCTGCACCGAAAAAAATTCAGAATAAGATTCAAATGCTAGAGAAATGCTAGGGGTGTCAATATTGGACACGACACGAAAATCCGACTCGAACCCAACACGAAAATTTCGGGTTCGGGTTCGAGTTTTTGACCCGGTAAGGCATGCCATCGCGTCAGGCCATCTGGTCAACCGTCCGCGTCAGTGAGTCGGGTTTGCGTCTAGTCGCTAGGCCAGTAGGCCTTCACGTCAGTCCGAGTCAAGTCGCCAGCCTGGCCCAGGGGCGCCCATCCAGGCCATAGCGTCACGCCATCTGCGTCGCTTCCGCTGACCGGAATCCGAGTTCGCGTCCGCTACGGGCCAGCCGTTGCCATCTCCGGCACTGCCTAGCCTCGCCGTCCCGTTCCAACACTCCAAACCTTCTGGCTCCGGCTGTCCGGCATACCACAAACCGCATTCCTGCAAACCGCGTCTAACCTTCTGGTAGATCGCAAACCGTCCCGCGGTCCGTTCACCTTGTTGGGTCGGGTTGACCCGAACCCAAAGCGAGTCGGGTTCGGGTCCCAAAAATAGACCCATTTTTATAAACGGGTCGGGTTCAGGTTGACCCGAATAGTGCCGGGTCAGTTCCGGGTCGACCCGACCCGTGACCCGAAATTGACACCCCTAAGAAATGCAATTGTATTGGAGTTGCAGTAATTAAAGTGTAAAGCATGACTGAACAGAGAAAGTAAATTGCAATAGAAAACATGGTAAACAATATCAAGCATTTCTAAAATAAGACAACATGGATAAAGAAAATCAGCCATTATCGCATTTCTTAATTACAATTACAAGTGTAGATCATCATCAAACAAACGGATCCAACCACGGTTGGCATATTCATTTTGATCTAATCCAGGATCAACTTAATTCAAATTCAATCAGAGCCAGTGTGACTGGTTTGCTTTATACAAAGTTGGATATAAACCAGTAGCCGATCCAATTTTCAAGCAATCCTCGAGCTAAACTTATAGATGTGCCAATCAGGTAGATTTAAGATTTCTTACAAAAATCATAATGGAAGTTAACCACGTTTATAATTATCTACTCTTGTTAGTTGGTTAATTTCTATTATGATTTTTATATTTATTTTAATATAATAGCGAACAAAAAATATAAAAAATAATCTAATCTCACATACACTATAATATCCAAAATATCCTCAAATTTAACTGTTGGGATTAATTTTAACGGTTGATTTTCGCCTTAGGATCAAATTGGGACATTCTGTAATAATCAGAGGACTAAATTGGGTTATAATGAAAGTTTGAGACTAAATTGAATATTTACTAATAGTCGGAGGACTATTTTGAACTTTTACTCGATTGTAATTCCTGTAAAGAAATTCATAGTATCTTTAGAAGTAAACAATATGGAGGTAAGCTTTTGATGCTCCAAAGTGAATGGAAATCATAAGCTTTAAATATATTAAGCTTAAACTCAATGACTGCTTGGCTTCAAAAAGAGAATAAAAATCCTTCAAAGTGAGTTTTGATTTTTTTATAATAGTTTTCCTAATCTGAGTCATGTTGGCAATCTGAATCGTGTTAGAATAATGCCATCTTAAACTTCTGAAACAAATGTTCCACATTTTTTTTTCCATGAAGACCAAAATTGCATTGGAACTACCAAGATAATAATTCTTAATCACAAATAATTTATGTATGTCTTCTATAAGTGTATGTACTCAACCAAAGAGAGTCATGCCCCAGATACCAATTAAATCTATTGACGCTTTACCTTCTTGTCCACCTAACCACAACAGTGTTTCCCTGAAATCAGTCTAAACTGTAAATCACAGTAATTACCACATAACAAGTATCCCTTAAAATTTCAAGGCATTGACAGACCAATGCATGATCTTTAAATTTCTTATGTCCTTGGCTCCTGTGTAACAGGAATAACCAGAATGTTTAACGTTTGAAGTCGAAGAAAAACACGCTGAGATACTGATGGGTGGAGCATTTAATCCTACCTTTTCTAGAACTATGGATGTCACCAATTTCATGAGAAAAGTAGCCAAACCAAAGGAGATAAAACACTAAGCAAAAGATTAGGTCATTCCAGGAAGGTGTTGCACATACCATAGCCTTCCATAGAGATAATTTGCAGGTCACCACCAAAATATCGAGCATAGAGACGACTGATAGGAAGCCCGTAGCCATATCCAGCCATGATTACTGCTTCGCTCAATCCTTCCTGGTTTTCATCTAGTGGATTTTTTGCAGTGCTATACAGATATGTGAATATCTTTGGAAGTCCACTTCGTGGAATACCACCTCCTTCATCTGAAATCTGTGATACCAAATAAAAATTGGAAGGAATTATAAATGCAATCGTCTCATAAGAAAACAAATTTTTCACTCAAACAAAAAAGCAGATTTCCAAAAATCATTGATCTCTAGACAACCTTATAAGCATACCTTTATAGTCACATCCTCGATACCGTCAGCAACTATTATTCGAATAGGAGGTACATCTTTATCAGAAGACATGAAACGTTCTTGAACCGCACGCAATGAGTTCTTAACCAACTCAAATATCATAAGATGCAAATGTGAAGGAACATACCTGTTTAGAAGCAAAATTAGGTATCATATATAAATCAAGAAAAACTATAGTGAATGCAGCGCTCAGGAGAACACCATGCAATGTCAATTTTTCAATGGAAAAGATGAGTCTACTCAATATGGTGGAGCATTGCTAATGATTAAATACATAATCAAGTAAATTAAAAAATTTCATCACAGTAATAAGAGTCTAACATAAGAATATCAAAATTACATACATTTAGAAATACAAAATTTTCAGATGATGCAGTAAGCCAAACCAAAATTTACATGATATGCACAAGAATTTGCACTACATTATATGATTTTAGAGAGAAAAAATAAACATAAAGCTGCCAGATAGATACATGTGTAAGAATAATCAGCTGCTAGCGTTATCCACAAGTTGTTATGTGGTCAATAGAAACAAGTAAAAACTTACGGAAAGGTGAAGTTTGGATCTCCATAAATGTTAAGCTCAGGCGCATTTCCATACTCCCGAAAACATATACAGCGAGCATCCTCACTAGCAATTCTGGCAACTTGCATCGGTGATAATCTAGTATTTATTTGACCAATACACCCTGGCTCAGGATCAGGATCATGCAAGGCCACATGCTGCCCTGATTTCCACAGCAAAACTGATTAGTATAATAACCAGGTTCGAGTTCAAAGCATAAAAAGACAATTTTTAGGTAGGTATGTAATGAACTAAGGAAAGTATTAATAGAAAATTCGAAAAAGCGGATGTTGACAGCAAACAGATCCATTTTTTAACACGAAAACACTAACCTATAAGCATACGAATACCAATCCTTGACAAGTAAAAACGATCGAGAAACTGATGTATTTCCTGTAGATCTTCGGGAACAAAATTGGGATCCAAATCTTTTTTTAGCTGTTGTACGCCCAAAGCCATAGCTGGTACCACATTGTTATGTCGCACCTTGATCATTTTGATCATTTGTGTGAACGCCAATTCATTATCTCTATCCTTAATTTCTGGACATGATCGAAGGTCACGAAAAGAATCCAGATACCAATTTCGGACCTAAAAATGAAAAAGTAACAAGTGGCAAAATTAGGCTTAGATTCAGATGATATGCATGTGATGGTAAAGCTACCAAAAATACTATATTTCCTATAGAAACAATGCTGTTTTGGTGTGTGCATATTTCATGTAAATAATAGTTATGCTCACAATACTTGACAGCAGATGGTTTAAAAAACAACCAAGTACCTAGGTGCTTTAAAATAACATCAAACAAAAGAACATTTAAAAAAGGGGCATAATTTAAAACCCAAATTGGCAGAGTTATGATGTTAATACTCCACCACCCAATTCAATAATTGTCGCCTCTAGGGTTTTGCAGAAGACAAAAGTAGATAAAGCTTTCAGAAGTAGATAAAGCTTTCAGAGCCCTAAATAAAATCTAAGTGTTCGACAATATTTATTAAGGACAAGTTGCTCAAGTTACTAAAAGAACATGAATTGAGTTCAATAAGTTGTTGCTTGTGAATCAGCTTGAACCAACTACAATTCGATAATGATATGCACCCAACTTGAAGTCTGTTTAGGCCTCGAGCTACCCCATTAATTAGATCTTACTGGCCTCTCAATACCAACTATACTCACCCAAGAAATTCTACTTATCGTCCAAAGTATTTGATAGTCAACTAGGGGTTCTAACTAGGAAAACTCACTATAGGCACTTGACCTCATACCGAAACTTGGCAAAGCTATTGCCAACTAGATATCCACAAGTCAAACATATCCGCTAAATAGATAGTTACACAAATTCCTAGCCATGTATTAATAATTCACGTATCACAATATGATGTTGCCCAAGCAGCACTCACTCAAGGCCTCTGAGGTCCTTTTGGATATATTCCCGGCTTGGGATAGCCAAAGACATTAGTTGAATTCTTGAATTGGCCAACAATTATGTCATGCAGAGGAATACAACATTGTGACCTTGAATTCAACCTCCATGCGGTGCCATAACCTAAAGATCACAGAAATAAGTCATGCATCAACAAAAGAAAATCAGCCGAAAAGTTGCATCATCATCACCATCATCATCAATATCAAGGCTTTTGTGCAAAGACACGAATAAAAAAGTATTTTGACCTATGACCTCGCAAATAAGGAGAGGTCACTGATGGACCGGTTCACCCGGTCCATCCTAGACCCGTGCGGGTCTATGGGAGGCGGGCGGACCGGCTGGACAAAAAGGGGCCCACCCACTTAAGTGGGGGTAATTTGGGGATGTGAGGGACTTTTGGATTGTATGAAGGGGGCCATTAGGGTTTAGTTGGAGGCATTATGAAAAGTGTATTCTCTTTCTAGTTTTCTTCTTCTAGTTTCCTTCTTGTTCTTTTCTAGGGTTTTCTTGTGAGAGATCTTGTCCTTCTCGAAGTGGACAAACTTATCTTGTTTTCTCTTGGATTTCTAATGCAAAGGTTCTTATTTTTCATCCCAACAATCTTGTGATTTTTTCTCTTTGGTTTTGGTGGAGAACTTCCTCTCTTTTGGGGGAAATTAGGGCAAAACCGAAATTGTGAAACCCTAGGGCGTATCAGTCACCACTATAATCGATGTACCTAACACATTGCTATGAGTTTCACTGGCTAAACTTGTAAAAGCCATCTACGACAATTACTTTCAAAGACCAACATTAATGTGCACAATTTCATTTGCACCTTACCTGAAGAATTGTTATATCTTCCATACAAATCATGATCACAAAATGTACGATTCTCACCACCACCACAGCCTCGTTAAAGAGATCATTCATGTGGGCAAACTAAAGGAGTTTCATCCTTGCTAATAAGGGAGAATGACTCTAACAAAGGCATCAATAGAGGAGATCAACAAGCCCATCCTCGCATGGAGGATTCATATAGCAAGTGCGATCTCATAAAATTTTTGTTGAAACTTGTAATATTGAGTATGTCATATAAAGAAAGACGAATATCATTAAAAAAGAAACTCATCAACTCAAAACCACCATAACAGAAAGAAGAAACTTCTAAGATTCCGCAAATACAATATACAAACTTGGAATATAACACAATCAGTTATGCCTAAATTTGACTCAAAAACCTCGTATTTAAGAATATGGGAACTCACTTCCACAAACTTGTCAAATTCATCATACAAAGCTATGAATGATGAATGCAACAACTCACAATACATAGGGAACTCTTCTCAAGAAAATATGTTGCATTCAATGAACTGACCAATTTTCTTTTATCTTTTAATTCAACACTCACTATATTCTTTGTATTGACTCAGAGGACCCAATGTGTTAAATCCTAAAAATATGTAAGTACTAAAAGTCAAATCCTAGAACTCAAACTTCCCCTTTGCATCTGTATTGAAGGAGAAAAGTCCACTCTAGCGATAAGGGTTTCTCCAACCAATAAGAAAGCTCTGATGTAAAATAAAAACATCAAATACAAGATGAAGACATATCCTAAGAAGATACACAAAGGATATAAGCCGAGAATAAATTGAGGAGACTACCAAGCACTCAGAAAATTCCTTCATACACGAGCAAAAAATTAGTTAAGTTACTATCACAAGAAGAAAGAGATACTAAATTCAATAAACTATCGCATCACATAGCAAACTCAAAGAAAATTCTCATTTCATTGTATCAAATCCATAACTACAGTTGCGCCAATAGGTTTTCTTACAAAATATGAGTACAGAAATCAAAATAAAAGATACAAGAATGACATCATCTAGCCACCAAACCACTCACTAACGAAGCTACTCATTCTTATCTCAGCGGTCATCTCCCTCAAAGAATTCTTCTACTAATTAGAAATAGTCAAAGTCGATCCAAATTGAACCTAGAAGATTTTGCTTCATATTTTTTTGGCCATTAAGTCCATGTATTATTGAGACTTGAAAAAATTATTCATGTACCCGACTTCATTCAAGGACTCATTCAACTTTGTCTACAGCTTTGCATTCTCAGCAAGACATTTATTTAGCAAAGTCTCCAACTCAATTATCAGAGCTTTGATGTCCAACAACATATATGCTAGATGCTTCCTGTTCAACTTGTACTCTATCAGAGCGGATTCAAAGTTTTTTATATTATTTTGAAGATCAAAATTCACATCACTTCTATTTTTATTAGCTCAGCATGTAATTGAAGTGCAGAATGCAAACTCACGCATTTTTCATGTGGGGTTTTGAGTTCTCAATGCTACCTTTATTTGGCCAGAGGCCATCACTAAGGTGACTACTGTTTTAGACAGCTCATCCTTCAAAATTGCTATGGTCACTTCAGCCTCTATTCTTTTTGCTTTTTTGGCATCAGGTTTAAATTGTGAAAAAAATTCCCCCCTTACTTTAAAGAGAGTTCTAACTCATATTTTTTTACATTATCAAAATTTTTTTGCTTCACTTTCGCAGTTGGCATATAAACTCTTGTGGTTTTCATCAGGTGAAAGCTGGCCTACAAATAGGAAATAAGCTTCTGCGTCGTGGCCACGTGAATATCACTATTCAGCATGTTGTCCAATCTTTTATGGAGCCAACTAGAGAAGATAATTAGGTCAAGTTCATAAGCCATAGTTTTAAGCATGGACCTCGATAGCAGATGGTTGATGTTTAAGCAGATAACGGTTGCGGAAAAATCCTTTACCCCATTAAACGAAGCTCTTTTCTCCTCATTGCAGTAGCAAGGCCTGAAACTATATCAATGAAAAATGGTTTCATTTTCTTTGTCACCAAAGCCTATCTTTGTTAACTCAAGCTTCTTGGATTTCTTCTCCTGAGCTGCTTTCCTTGTCGCCTCAACCTCTAAGATGATGATTCCTTTGGCTCTATGTGAAGTTGGAATTAGAACCTTTTGGGTTGCGAAAACATGAGCAAAGATAACATCTTTGATCTAGCAACACCTTGCTGGCATATGCTAAATAAGTTATCATTGAGGCGGACTTTAGTGTTGAGGATTTTCAATTGCTGCAAGAAATGTCAAAGTTATCAATATTGTAGGATTCCTCAGAGCATCATCTCCATTCCTTCCCATCAATTAAAAAATGTCTTAACTTGACCCAACTTGCATAACACGTTTAATATATAGATCATGACATTTTTTCATCAACACAACCTTATAAAGGCCACTATGACCCGTTGAACTGAACTAATGTCGTGCAAATCTACCTAAATCAAACCCAAATAGTAAACAACTCAATTTCAAGTTGAATTCAGGTTATATAGGTCAAACCCAACCCAAATAATAATCACATAATAATTTAGACCTAAATCTAACCCAAATAATAATCAACTTGAACTCATATTTATTTCAATTCAGGTTCAGTTCACTTATTGACACCCCTATATGTATGGGTTAGATTGATCAAATCACTAAGAAAGTATAAATCGGGTTCAAAAAGTTATTAATTGTGAACCATCTTGAACAACCTGAACTTAATACTTGACAAGCTTGAAGCCGACTAAAGCCTCTAGTGCCCAAATTTGAATGACATATGTTGCCCAAAAGTTAGATTCAGCCCTCATTGATAAGCTATTGTACTCGTCTCAATGGACTAGTCTTCTGATGTTAAGTACTCATCAATTGGTTGTGGGTTCTTATTAAGATTTAAGAGCACTCATTAAGGGTACTCACACTCAAACCATAACTCACTTGAAGTTCTCAGCTAACAATTTGGAAAATATCCACAAGTTAGACTCACCCACTACATTGATAGCTACGTAGAGACCTAATCATGTAATATCATGAATCAAATTATGTAGCTAATTCTGTATTAACAACCTTAGCCGTCAACTATAAATAGGAGGTAATAAATTGAGTGCCGGCATGAGGAAATTGTGTACTTATGGAATAAAATTAATACAGAACATCAAAAAAAAAAAAAATCCCCAAACCGCCAGCCTTGTCATCCTTGCCGCCGACCACCTCCCTTCCCCCTCCCTCTTTTATTTGTTTCATATTTTGACTTAATATATTTGAATTCAAATTTAAAATATTTGAATTTCAAAATATTTCCTAATATACTAATTATATTTTAGAAAAGTCCATTAATGAGCTCCTATTTAAATTTTCATTAAGAGGGGATTAAATCAAAACTTTCCAATCTTACTAATTTCAATTTGAAAGCTTATTAAGTCCCCACAATTCCCTCCCCTCATCCATGCATGCCGCCGGCCCCCATACCCTCACCCATTAATTCCCTCTCAAATTATTTCCTAACTCCAACACCTTAGGAAATATTTCAAAACTCCAAATCCCCACTTGGCCGAATTTCCCCAATCACCTCATGCCTGCAATTATTTCTTAAATCAATTAATTGATTTAGGGAATTCAAACCCCATCCCACCCTCATCCCGCCGCCCCTCTCCCTAGCCATCTCTCTCTCTCTCAAATTCCCTCTCCACCGTTGGTTCTCTAGTGGATTTAATTCCTTATTTCTTAATCCTTCAAGTTCTCCTTCCCTCAACACCAAAACTGAGATTTCCTCTCAGATTTCTGAGATAATTCCAGAATTATTTCAGATTTTTGAACGGAACAATTTCAGATTTTTTTTTTTTTGAAGGAAACTTGGAGTTCACTCTTCGCCACCACTTGAGAGTTGTACCTTAGCACCACGGAGATTCTACCTCCCTTCGTCCATGAATGGCGGATCCGGAAACTAACTACGGCATAACTTGGGACGAAGACGGCTACGTAGATATCCTACAATCTACGTTCTTCGACGTGCACCCAAGAGTTGATTTCACCGTCGAGGATTATTTGGAGCGTACATTGATATACTTGGTCGAGGCTATCGACGAACATTTTGAAGGCATTGAATGGAGGATCTTCACCAACCCTTGACGAAGGTTTCTTCTCTCCCGAGCATCTTATTCCTTTTAGTCTAAATTCTCGTTGGTTTGATTGCAGTCACGACGGACTCTTCTATTTGCTCTCGCTTAAGCTTAGTAATTGTAGAATTTGAGCGTACCTCATTGCATCCTAATTCTTATTGTTAGATTAGGGATTATCTTGAAAACTACTACCTTGTGTTGTGTTATTTTCTTATTTGTCTTGAAGTTTCAAACTCGGAGCATGTGATTTAGCCTAAGCAAATATCTCCTTACTTGTTTTGATTCTTCGTTTTAAGATTGCTATTAATTTTATTCCAATATTATTCTAATCACGAGTTGTGCAATGACTAAATGATTCCATAATTATCTCATCTAAGTAGTCCTGCATCAAAAAGCTTTCAACTTTTGAATGTTTAAAAAAAATTGGAGAAAAATTTTCTCTTTTGATTGATGCTTGATAGCCTATCTTGACCTATTTTGGCAAGACTTGCTAAAAATATTTTATGTTTATTGTTACTCTTATTAAATCACCTTAGAATATTCTCCTACACCTTAGCCATCTTTCAAGTCCAGCCATCCACAACTCAAGGCTTAAAAAAAAATCAACCCATAACCTCTTTGAAGCCCTCGGGCCTTGTTTAGACTTTAGACTCCCTTGCACCTAGTCTTATTCTCCATGCCACTGCAAGGTCATCAACCTCAACAAACTCTATCATCTACTCCAGATCATGATTTCACATCATAAGTTAATCCTCCATTATCATTTCCAACCATTTACTTCATTTGAATCATCATGCAAATCAACTCAAACTAGCCCAAACAAGACTAGTCTTGACATTCCTTTTACCATGTCCCTCCAAATCCCTCACCTTTCTACCAAAAACTCCAGCTCACTTTGTTAAACAATAAACTAAATATTTATAAGCATTTTTATTAACTAATCCCTCTAAAAGGGCATCTTATCATCATCAAAAACTATCTCCTTGAGATCTCACCATGATATATTTATCAAAATTCTCTCCTAAATTTCTCTCTTAGCTCTGTTTGATTTGCCTTTCTTTGTCAATGAATCAACCTTGCTTTCCGTAAACCAACCCACTTGAAGAGATTCTTTGAACTGTAATGTCATTCTTCCCTCTCTATTACAACAACAACAATAGCAAAAACTAACATTTATCCCACCATGTGGAGTCCACTATATGAATCTTTTATTCTCCATCGTGCCATATTAAGAGCCAAAATTTCATTTAAATCTAATTATATAAAAAAGTCATTTTTAATACATTATAATCAAGTCTTTTTAGGTATACCTCTACCTTTCTTAATATAGGCTGAATCTAATACATCTACTATGCTGACATGGTCTTTGAAAGGCCTACGTTTTAAGTGACCAAACCATCTAAGACGACATTCTTCCCACTCTACTCTTTGAACTAACTCCAAATTTGTAGTAAGACCATGGTATCTTTCAACTAAAAACATTAGATCCGATACAAAGTTGTAAATCAAAATTTTAACACTGGATTATCACAGGATAGCAAAACTTTGCATATACAAATATCTTCAAACAAAACAAGAATAATTTGCATAAATTTTTTAGAGAAATCCTTAAACGAAGTAATACAACAATTGAGCATCGAATAATCTGCTCACAATACATGCCATAGCAAGGAAAGGCAAGAACCATAGTTCCTTAGAACTAGCAATGAGAAAATAGACGTTAACCCATACGAAACAGCTACCCAATACAACTCACAGAACGACCAACATCACCTAAGAAAATTCATCGCAGATTAACCTTTGCAACCCATCATCACTATCTAACAACCAAGTAATCGGAAGAAATAAGTAAAATACAACCAAAGAGCACAAACCCGAGACTAAACTATCCAGAACCAAACAAAATCATTGGATCTCCTTTTCTCAGCAAAACGTTCCAAAAAGTAAAATACCCTATGAAAAAAATATAAATAAATTGAACGGTACAAACCAATACCCAATCCCATCTCTGCATGCTCTAGACGCGCAAACCCAACTCAAAATCACCTCCATGAAACGAAGAAACCGAGATATTGAAGGGATTAGAAAACAAACCTTTAGAACCGCGGGTTTCAGTGACAAACCGTACGGCAAGTTCTCGAGCTCCATCGCCCTCCTAGCGATCCTTATAGACAGCTCCTTGAGCAGAAACTGCGCCGAAATCAAGAGCTTCTTATCTTTGGGCCTCGAACCGAATTCCATCATGTACTTGAGGCTCACCCCCGTCGGCTTCATCGATCCCCATCTTCGCACTTCCTCCTTAAGCGACTTAGAGAAGTTCTCGGCCGCATGCTTTAAGGCCATGAGAACACCTCCACCGACTCCGAGTGACTGGAGAAGGAGATAAGAATGAGATGGAGTGATAGAGACGATAGAGATGGCGGCGACATGCAGACTCCCGCTCCCGCTCAGAGTCGGAGAATGAGGCAAAGGAAGACCAAAAAGCTAATCAGTGATAGTGCAAGTCGCCTTAAAGAGATATAGTTGTAAAAAGGCATTCACAGCACTCAACAATTCTCAATTTATATATTTCATTATTATTACTTATTCATATAATATTGAATATTTTAAATAATAATAACAAATCATATTTATCCAATCAAAATTTTGCACGTCATCCATATTCAATCGTAATTTCTTCGTTGGTTTAGCACATCACCGATCCACTGGTTCCCTACTGATATTGCCAGCCACCTGAAAAACCTCGAACTTTTATTAGGTCCTACGACCGGACGTAGCTCTACATTCGGTCATCACTTGAGTTACTCGATTTTTGTTCGGTATTTGCTAGGTATTGCTTGGCAATAACTAGAAATACCGCTATGTTAAGACCAATACCGAGTAATACCGAGCAATACCGAGTGATACCAAAAAATACCAAGTTTTTTTTAGAAAAAACTCAGTATTTTTTGGTATTACTCGGTATTACTCGGTATTGCTCGGTATTTTGTCTTGACATAATAATATTTCTCGTTATTGTTGGTATTGCTCGGTATTTATCGTTTTGTGCCTGCTACGTGGCGCGATCTCAGTACCGGCAGAACGTAGCTCTATGTATGTTCACCGGACCAAATAAAAGTTCGAACACCTCAGCATGCCTCGTTGATCTCGTCGTGATATTTCAACAAGATATTGTGAATGAAATGTATTTATTGCTACTTTTTTTCTAAAGTTAGGGGATAATGAATATATATTTATTGCTACCTAATTATAATTAAAATCTGTTACGAGTATTTTCTGCAATGAATATTATAAAGAATCATTTATGCAATCGTATGGAAGACTTTTGGATGAATGACTATTTACTTATTTATATTGAAAAGAATATATTTAATAGTACTGACAATTACTTGATTGTACAATAATTTCAAAAAACAAGGATTTGGCAAAAGAAATTGTAGATGATAGATAAGAAGAATATCAAGACTTAGTGTTCTCAACTGTAAGTTTTTTTTTTCTTTATCATATATTTTATCTTTTTATAATAAATCTAATGATTAAAAAAATTAAAACCGCCATATTTAATATCTAATTTTTTATATTTACTTATACAATATTTAAATTTTATTTGGGATAGCTTTTGATCACAATTTCATTATTTTTCAAGATATTTTAATCAAAAATTGCTATAGAAAACAGCGAAAAAATGCCCCAAATGAAGGAACAATTATTAGGTCCTCCGACCGGACGTAGAGGAACGTCCGGTCGGCACTAAAATCCCGCAAAAAAACTCCGTATTTGCTCGATATTGCTAGATATTATTTGGTAATAACGAGGAATACCGCTCTGTGAAGACCAATACCGAGTTATACCGAGCTATACCGAGCAATACCGAGTTATACACAAAAATACCAAGTTTTTTCTAGGAAAAACTCGATATTTTTTTGTATAACTCGGTATTGCTCGGTATTGCTCGGTATAACTCGGTATTGGGTCTTCACATGATGGTATTCCTCGTAATTGTTTGGTATTGCTCGGTATTTATCATTTTTTGTCGCGATTTTAGCTCCGACGAGGACCTAATAATTGTTCCAAATGAAGCCTTAAATTCCTGATTTATATTAAAAATATTACTAATATTAATTTATTTTTTTAACAAAAAAAGTTCATTATTTTTAATGATTCATGCAAATGAATTAAAATAGAGAGAAATATATAGCTCTATAGTGTAAATTAATTTGTTTAATTGAGTCCTAACGGTCATTAAAATTGAATTTTATAACTTTTCCTATCTTGTTTGAGAATGTAAACAATGATTGAAGCGTTCAAAAGATTCAACATAGTGATGGAATAATGTCAACCCCACAATATTATTACTAAAATATGATTAAAAGGATAAGCCTCAAAAGCCACTTACTTGAAGCGATCAGTTCAAGATAGCTAAAAAGATAAGCACAATGACTAAAATAATTGAAGAAAATCTTATTGCTCATATGCAATATAAAAAAAAGTTAACAAAGGAGACATAATAAGTTAGGATGGTTAGGCAAATAGAGCAAAGAGAAAGTTATTTTAATTACTTTAATACTTTAAAAAATAGAGCAAAGAGAAAGTCCATGAGTAAATGAGACTTGACATGTCTTAGTCAGTGGCGGATCCAGACCTTTTTTTTAGGGTGGGCAAACTCGATATATAAAAAAATACAAAAAATATAGATCTATTTCACTAGTAAAATTCAAAGCAAAGTATTATATTACAACATAATTTATGAAATTAAAAAGAAAATTACAAACTTTGCATTCTACTTTGTATTTTCTGATAATGTTATATAATGACTTCATTCAGGACAGAATCAAATATTTATTTCTCAATATAAGACACTAGACAGTTAGGGCAAAAAAAATTTTTTTTGAGGGGGGGCAAATTTCCAAAACTGCCCCTCCTCTACACTATTTTTTTTTTAGGGTGGGCATTTGCCCACCCTCAGCTAAGCACAGATCCGCCCATGACTCTCAGTCGTCGATTAACAAGGGCAGATGCAGCTTCTTTTTTCAGGATGGGCTTTGGGGGGAGACTTAAGCTCGACTTATGAGCTTGAGTGAAAATTATAGCTCAATAAAGAAGCATTGATGGGAAATGGTGGCTCACAATGGTGTGTGTTGGAGAAGGTATAATCGTGACTTGCGAGAAGGCCGCGAAATGCAAATTGAGAATGACTCTTGAATGTCAAATGCAACTGGGAAGGAGGGGTGTGGAGACAAAGGCGGTGACGTCTTGAACATCGAAAGCGACAAGGAAGGACAAGGACGCTTATGATTGATTAAATTATGACAAAATAAATTTTTTAGAGGGGGGGGGGGGGCAAAATATCTCCTCTAATACTTTTTTTAAAGATGGGCATTTGCCTACCTCGACTACAAGGGTGATTCGCCTATGTCGATTAAACACATTAATGAGCAATGACTATGTTGTGGAGACCAACTACTCAAGACTAATAATTATTGACAAACATTTGTGCATATACCTAAGTTGGATGAAATAAAATATTAATTATATATTTCATTTTAATTTTTACTTTTATAATTGCCTTTTAAACTCCATGTTATCACCACCATAGCTTGACCAATCATTTTTTCTATTGTATGCTTGAAATGAATGACTTTATGAAGTAATGTGAGTGCATAAGAAATAGGAGTGTCAATATTTGACACAACAAGAAAATTTCACGTTCGAGTCAACTCGAACTGGGTCGGATTCAGGTTAGAGATTTCCACCTGTTTGTAAAACCAGGTAAAGTTCGGGTTGACCCGGAAATCCAAAATCAACCCGGTTAGACCATTTTTAATTGATTTAGGAGGGTTTTAGAAGATTATTATGAAATAAGTAAATGTTATTTTCCAAAAAAAATAATAAACTATGTTGCCTAAACCCTAAATCAATGGAATTAAATAAAAATATTTTAGTAAAACATACATGATGAGGGTCGGGTTCGGGTCCAAAAAACCGACCCATTTGCAAAAACGGGTTGGGTTCGGGCCTGATAAAAAAGTGCCGAGTCATATTCGGATTCAACCCGAACTCGATCCGAAACCTGATTTTGAAAGCCCTAATAAGAAATTGTCCTAGCTTGAAAAGTATACAATAAAATAAATTGCAGTGGGCCAATGGCTCAAATTGGGAACACTTGAGAAATATTAGTTGTCAAAGACTGATGAGATTACATGCCAAGGCAATCTCTATAATCATAAGCATAAATGATCATTTCTTTATTAAAGTACGTCAGTAGTTCACACATAAGGTCTTCGTTGAAACTATATGTCAACTACTAGAAATCCATAAAATTTAAATAAGATTTCATAATGATATATCATCAAAAAATTATCTTGATCGGGCACGAATCTTGATGCAAAATCAAGTTGGAAACTTTCAAAATTAAAATTGGGACCATATGAACTCCGATTTCAGCGAACTTACAGTCAAACTGAGCGTCTCGGAAATACGAACCCAACGACACCAAATTCGACTCAATCCGAGCCCAAATGAGTCCAAATAAAGGACCCGAAGTGTTGTTGGAAGCTTCGTACCACTGTTTGAGTTACCAAACCGTTTCCAAATATGACAAGCTTATAGTCGAATCGAGCGGCTTGACGAGACAAATCCAACGAGCCTAAGATCACTAAATTCT